CCTTCTGAAGCCTGGCTTCTGAGTAGAGGTTACCACCATGCTAAATAATGTGGTGCTTTATTGTGATGTGGAACTACTTCCCCGAGGAAACTGTGTGGAGCCCTCCTGGCTCATCTCACAAGCGATCTCTCCCTGGCAGAAGCAACCAAAAAACAAATTACTCAGTAAAAGGTGGGATTCTGAAACAGCAGATGAACTGTGATCATGAAGCCTGGCTTCTGAGTAGAGGTTACCACCATGCTAAATAATGTGGTGCTTTATTGTGATGTGGAACTACTTCCCCGAGGAAACTGTGTGGAGCCCTCCTGGCTCATCTCACAAGCGATCTCTCCCTGGCAGAAGCAACCAAAAAACAAATTACTCAGTAAAAGGTGGGATTCTGAAACAGCAGATGAACTGTGATCACTAATATCAGGTGCTTTTGTGCTCATACAGAATAATCACTCAACTGAAGAGAGAGAGCACTTCCCATGGCAGACTCCTTGCAGGAGCTTTTTGCTATTCATTTTCCAGTCAGGATCAATTTCCTAATCACAGATTCTGTGTGTTCTCTAACCCAAAGACTAGGCACTCTGTGAGGTCAAAGTACTCCCTTTTGGCAGCAGGACAGAGTAAATTATTAATGGACAGAGCTGGCTGGGCTACTCACAGATTGAGACAGGAGGATGCCATCGATTTTCAGGGCTGGGACCTGCTGCATTGGATTCACTGCCTGGAATTCTGTAGAAAACTAGAGAGAAGACATTGGATTATACTGTAGCTAAGAAGAGTCCAGTATTCCCCTCAAAGTCAAAGCCTCAAGGCACCACAGCTCGATACATGATTTCTCCATGATCTGATTGTTTTGTAGCAGCATTGGCTAGCACTACCCTGTCTTCCAGTTCCCCTGCTCGCAAATGGATATATACCCTTGCTTTCTCTGCTACTGGTGAAACCTTGAGGCTTCTCCACTATGTTTTCCCATTGTCTCCTTGCTCTGCTTCAGTCCTAATGGTCTTTGTACATTATGACCCTCCTTTGGACACCAAGAGGCACTCCTGTTGAGGCCTAGAAGGTCGCTCCTGGTGCATAGTACCCTCACATTATCCATTGACCAAATGACAAAGCAAGATCTACCCTGATCTCTCTCCCCTTCCCAGCACTGTAAGTTAACTAGCCTCACTGTCCTCATGCTTAGCTCCCATGTTGTCATATGCAGATTCCTCCTTCAGTACTCCTATAGGATTGTGCTGCAGGCAGTCACTCCCAGTGTGGTTCAAGCATCTCTGTGATAAATACCTACATTTTTGGACTATACTTGGAAATCGCAGCACCCTGCCTTTATTGCCACCACCTGATGAGCTTGGTTCCCCCATACCAAGTGAAGGTAGGGAGCCTGCATGCAGCCTACTGGATAATGTTACTCAGCCATTAGAGAGGGAAGGAGACTGTTAGGTTCCATGCAATCTGTCTTTTTCCTTCTCTCCTGGAGGCAAAAGCTGGATGGTTAGCTTTCTGAGCATGCTATACAGCTCTAATTCCTCCAAGCAAAAGTGCTCAGGCCTCTTCCTATGGAAAAATAATTTCATGTCATAATGTATGTGAGTTTCAGAACATTTTCTTGATCTCAGCTTATGCTTAAGTCAAAGTAGGAAGCGGGGAGAGTTGGGGATCCTGAAGAGGTCAGAGGCAACAGTTAGCTGTAGAAAAGAAGTCTGGAGTGAGCTATTGGACAGCTTTTTTCCCAATAGGCAAAATAGATCCCATTTCCTTTGAGCTCTGATGATTCTGACCTGCCAGATTTCCAGTGATGCCTAAGCTTAGCCTGTGTGCCAGTTTAGGGGGAGGTTGACTGTAGTTGCCCTCTTACCTGCTGTCCCCCATCCTTCAAGAGGTTCACTGGTTCCTGATCATAGGCAATTCCCTTCAGAGCCAGTGCTAGAGGGAACACAACATAGAGACTGAGAGGCAGAATGAGCCAAAAAGCTAAGTTCCAAGGAAAATGGATTTACGGAAGTTTCACAGTCTCGATTGAAGACACTGTTTAAAACCAAAACAAGAAACCTCTTTTCTTTCAGAGTGGTTGTTTTAGATCTCCTGTGGCAGAGAGTGCCTCTATCATGCCATGCCTCTTAGTACTTGTTGGAACCACTGAGGTCAGTATTAACACTCTATTGAATAACACTCATTATACCTTTCATTACAGCCTCTTAGGGCACAGAGTCAGTGCCATTTCTCTTCTGTCAAAACCTTATTTTAACTTGCTCCCATCCAAGCACTGTCCAAGCCGTACCCTGCTTAGCTTGCAGGAGCTGATAAAATCATAGATTTTGATGTAGTATTATTGCAAGCACAGAACACGGCATTTTTAAGGAATGTGGGAAATACGAATATCTGGATTACATTAGTTTTATGGAGATATGTCCCTCTAACTAGCTTTAGAGAGTGTCTGGGGAAAAAAGAAATTACCAAGGGCAGCGGAGAGCCTCCAGAGCCCATTACTGAGAGGCCAGGCCTGAGAAGGAGAGCAGAGATCCTATACTGTAGAAGGTGGGTAGATGGCTAAAAGTTTGTAACAAACACACAAATATTCCTTCAGCTCCAGTAAATATCTTCTTTATCAATGGCCACTGGAGTTTCAACTAGGTACATAAAATTGTTATTCTATCCATCCCTTACTAGCCCCTTTCCTTCCTCCAAATGCAAATTAATTCTGATGTTTACTCTTTTCCCCCATCCTCCAGAAGTGGAGGCAACCCAAAGTTACTTTTTTAAAGTTGCATGTTTGTTAATCTCTCTCTCTCTCTCACTCAGTAGGTGTCTGGTTAGTGAAGGGAGTTAGTGTTCAAGAAAGGTGGTGGGGTGACAGTTCCAGAGCAATGAAAAATTTAACACCAGATCTTACCTATTCTCACTCTCCAAGAGCAGGAACTTCGGAAATAACTATAAAGAACCGGCTGAGGGGGGAGAGAAAGAAAAGTGGATTACAAAATGGTAATGCTAGCAGTTTTCTCAGCTAGAGAAAGGAATTTTTCATTCTAACCTTTGAAAATTTAATCATTTCATGCATTTTAACAAGGACAAGTCAGGTGAGTTTGAGCCCTTAAAAATGTCTCTTTATTGCTTTCAAACAGTAGCTTCTTTACCATGCCATTGATTTTTAAATTAAATTCTCCATTGCGTACAATGAGATTCTTCCTTTGAAACCTCAGTGGCTCAGCCAGTCCTTTGAGCCGTTCACAGACCTGCATGTTCCCAATCTGGAACTTAACTATTAATCCAAGCAAATGCTGAGAATGCAGGAGTTAATCTCCACTTTAACTATGGAAGCAAGGAAACTCCCACAGCAGCTTTAAATCCTTTGGATCTCACCTTTCCAGAGGAATCCATGGTCTATGTGTGTAGGTCACTCCAAAGAGTGAATGTTACATGATCCTGCCTTTTCTTTTCACTCAGCTGGGGTGGGGGAAGGCTCTGCCCTTACAGCCAATGAGAAAAATGCCAGAATCCAAATTCTTAGCTTCCTGTGTTTAAAAGATTCAGCAACAGAAGTCGATAGGACTGAGGTTCTGTTCGGAGTGAATACCCTTTACCAGACACATTTATAATTCTCTTTAGGTTGATGTATTGAGCCTATCATCTGGCTCTTGTCATGATGGATAAAATATTGAGAGAGACTTATGGGTTGTTGGGAGCTGCCAGTACAGAAATATAACTCTGTGGGCTAACAGAAGAGAGTAGATTCTAAAAATATAGTTTCTGTTATCACTGGCAGGTCCTCTGAGCAGGAACTGTGTCTTTGTGTAAAACTGAAATATATAGTGTAACGTATAACAAAGGTCCTTCTCGGTACACAAGGCTTGTTTGTATTTCTTATTAATACATAACAGATCTCTAGCTCCTTTAAAAATCCAAAAGCACTTCAGAGACATTAATAAATTAATCCTCATGTGCTACCTCCTCTTCTCCTCCCCAGAATGCAGAGTCATCATAGCCCATGTTATAGAAGGAAACACAGTACCAGAGAGAGGAAGTGACTTGTCCATTGGCCCATTATGTGATAATGGCAGAACCAGAATTAAAACTCAGGAGTCCTGAGTCCCAGTCCAGCATTAAACCATTTTCATAGCTAAATATTACCTTAATTTACCTGTTTACAGAATGTAAATGTTTGACTGAATTATCCTAGCCAAAGTTCACAAGAGAAATGGTTGGTAGGATAGCTGGGAAGGAAGGAATGCTGCAGCATTGCCAGCTCTTGGGATTTTCCTGTGACACTCATGCTATTTTGTGATTTTTTTCACAAAGCGTCAGCTCCAGGAAGCCTAAGATTATATGAAAATCTCAGCTTTCATTTTTTTAAATAGTAATTTTCTAGCTTTTATGGTTGCAGATGATAACTGGAAACCACAAACTCAAGGAATCAAAAACCAGAAGGCAAAGAAAATGATAAAAAATGTATTAACGTTGCTCATCTTTCTTTGGTAACTTACTCAGAATTTTTGAACACTTGGACTTGGCAATACCCTCCCTTTGCCCCTGCATTGACTGGTAGCAGCGGGAAGCGGAGCCACCTGGTCATATCCTGCTCTATTCTCCCAGCTGTGTGGTTCAGGGGAGGGATGGGCAGCGATGTGGCATTGGCAGAACAGAGTGGGTTGGACCTCGGTTGCTCCACTTCATGCTGCAGCCTGTGAGTGCGGTGGAGTGAGCCCAATCCTTGGTGCTATCAGCAGGTCTCCTGCTAGTTCTCCAGGCTGCATTGCTTGGGGGAGGGTGTGGAGCTAGAGAGGGAAGAGGCACTGGAGTGGATCAAGGGCGGTGGGCTTAAGGGAAGGGATGGCATAGGGGTAGAGTGGGAACAGAGTGAGGGGGTTATCCCATGGCCCATGCATCCAAGGGGCAGCCCTGCTGGCACAGACTATGGCAGGGGTGTGGCTGATGGATGGAGCTGGCTACTGAAGCTAGCATACAGTTGCCAAAGGCACTATGAAATTTGGGGCAATTTACCCCAAATTTCATGGTACCCTATGCAGTTACGTATTTTTCATATTGATAGGGACAGCCCTGAATTTAGGTCTCAATTCTAAAAGTTGTTTTACCTGGGCAATGCCCAAGTCAAGACAGTGAGGCTCTGTGCAGAGATAGGGGTATGCCTGGATGAGGCATACTGCAGGACTCAGGGTTTAAACTGAATCCAGGGATTACTTATCAAGGGGCCACAATTTCAACCCATCTCCCATAAAACATATGGGGTTGAGGGTAGCTACATCTTATTTGAAAATGCACAATCTGCACTTCAGATGTTTCTGAATTATTCCAAAGATTCTTCAGCTGAAGCTGCATTATTTGTAGAAGTAAGAGCTTCTCTTTAAGTGCAACCAGTACAAAAGAAAAAGCCCCAATTCTGTTTTGTTTCTGAGCCCCCTGTAGCAGTAAATACCTTCACTAAGGCACCACTCATCTTGCAGTTTCAGCACAGCTCTGTTCTCTCTGCAGTCCCTGAATGAACACAAGTCACAATGGTGCTAAAAATAGAATTGGCTGAAACATCCTCCTTCACTTGCTCTCTATAGGTTTCTTAAAGCTGCCAGTTTCATTCAGATAAGGCCCCAACCCTGCTATGAGAGTTGCTGGAATTCTGGGAGTAGTAGTTCTAGCTGCTTTTCCAGGCCTCAAAAGCATTTTGATAGTTTATGCTGAAAGTTTAGATTTTTGTGGAGATGAAAAGTTTTTTTCAAAATGCTCATATTAACTGAAATGTTTTAATATTTTCCCTAAAATATCAGTGAAGAATGTGAATTTAAACATCCCTCTCTAAAGAAATTGCAACACAAAGTGTGTGCCATACAGGTCAAAAACCAGAAAGTGAAGCTGGCTAGCACTGAAAGTGAATGTGATCGATTAAGTGCTATTTTATTGACATGACAAACACTGTTAGTGCTGTGTGTGTCCAGCAGATGTATGTGTGGAAAGTGGAAGGACAGTCAGCGGTTGTGTCTGTCAGAGAATGGGGAGGGGCAATTAATGTGTGTATACTGCATGCACATATGAGATGTGTGTGAGGGGTGGGCAAGGCAGTTACAGGGTGTGTGGGGGTCTGTCAGTGAATGGGGGTATGTAGTAGGTGTGGGCATGCATGTGAATTGTGGCTTTTTGTAGGCAACACAATCTGTGTGTGTGTGGTCTATCAATGGGGTGCAGTAGGTGTGGGCATGGTGTGTGGACAGGGGCTGTGGATGTGTGTGCCTGGGCGGGCAGGGCAGTCCCAGAGTGTGAGGGGGGATTTATTAGTGGGTATGGAAGTGGCTGGCACTTGGGATGTTGGACAAATAGGCAATCTCAGTGTGGCTGGGGGTGTCAGTGGACGTGGGGTAACTGGTAGGCAGGGGGGCTGTCAGGGAATGGGGGAGGTGAGCAGGGCAGCCTAGGCGTGTCTGTCAGCGAAGGGGGGATAACTGGCAGGCAGGGTGGCGCCGGGGGTGACTGTCATTGACCTGCCCGGCAGGCCAGTCTCGGGGTGTCTGTGATTGAAGGGGGGCGGGCAGCCTGGGGCCCCGACTGGGCCCGGGGGGAGGTGACAGGACCCCCCGTTCAGTGGCGTTTCCTGACTCAGCTCTTGCTTGAACCTGTCACGAGCCGCGGCGACGCTTCGCCCCCCCCCCGGCGCGGAGAACTACATCTCCCAGGATGCCATGCGAAGGAACCGGGCTCCGCTTCCCGCGATGCCCTACGGCGCGGACTCCCTTTCCCTTGGTGCTGTGCGCGGGGGTGCCCGGCGTGTCGGGGCGCGGATGACGCTGGCGGCGAGGTGCTGCCAGGCCGAGACTGGCCCGCGCTGCGGGGGGCTCCGGCAGCGGCGATCCCGCAGGCCGGCGGGCGGGCCGAACCGTCCCTGTCCCGCTCCTCGCTCTTGGGCTCCCCTGGAAGCGCCAGTCGGTGTCTGGGCCCCGCTGGCCATCGTCACCCTCCTCAGCTTCGCCTCCCGCTTCTCCCGCCTGTCCGAGCCGCCGCACGTCTGGTGAGTGGCGGCGGCACCATGGCAACGGGGGCGGGGCTCAGAGGGGCGGAGCCACGTCTGGGTCAGGCAGGGGCCTACTGCTGGGTTTAACTGTCGGTTGCTCTCTTGGGAAGGGGGAGGTGGCAGTTGGGTGGCTGCTCCCCTCCGGGTTGCACCTCATCGTGGCAGCGGTCCGCGTGCAGCGAGGGGCGCCGGGGTGGGCCGTTGGAGCGGGGCGATTGGCTGAGAGGCGCAGCTCCCCGCCGGCAGTAGCCACCCAGCGGCGGAGCATCCCCAGAGGCTCAGCATCAGTCTGCTTGACAAGCCGCGTTGCTTGTCTGAAGCTGTGAGCCCCAAGGTGGATGATGTTGAGGTCATGGCCTGCAGGGATACTTCCAGGGAAGGGATGCTCAGGGCTGGATTTAAGCTTTATGAGCCTCTGGGCACAGCATCTTCAGCACTGCCTTGCCTACAGCTGAGTTCCCCTTTGTGTTTTCTGTGAAAAATTAAATATTTAATCCATTTTTGATATTCAGGCGCTCCTTGAATGCTTAAATTGGAAGTCCAGGCTTGGAAATGCGTGGAGCAGGGGGCATAACTGAAGGGTTTAAGACAAGGGGTAGTAACTGCAGAAAGGAGACCTAGCTAGAAAATTATACAGGTTGAACCCCTCTAGTCTGGTACCCTCAGGACCTGATCAGTGCCAAACCAGAGAATTTGCCAAACCATGGGACGTCAATATTGTCTAGCAGCATTACCAACTCTTCTGTTGGTTACTGGGCCCATAGAAGACATTTAGTGGTAAATTTGAGCTAAATAACAGCACAGAACACGAGAGCCAGGACTGGTAGCTGTAAACAAACTTTATGAGACTGTGGAAAACTTATCCATATCCATGATAAGTGGACCACCGGATAACTAAAATCGTGCCGGATCACGGATGTTGCTGGAAAAGAAAGTGCCAAACTAGAGATGTTCAATCTGTAGTAAGCTTGATGACTGAACAAGCTGTCATGAGGATCTGAGAGAGGAGGCTCCAGTCACCTTTCGTGATGTGAAGTTGCTTTTGAAGGCTCTTCTGTCCACACTGGGTCTGGAATGATTGTCTGGAAAAATTCAGTCTTTTTAGTCCGCATGGAGACTGACTGAAGTGCTTCTGAGTGTGGTTGTCAAGTGCATTTCAATGGATGGGGGAATAAATGTTACACCGCACAGTAAATTGCACTAGTGTAAACAAGACCAAAGCACTATGAACATGAAGCTAGGTAATGTTCCTGGTAAAAAAACCTGTTCAGTTAGTTTATTATTTTGATGTAAAAACAAAAACATAAAAGAATAACTCTTTTGGGCTCACAATGCTTTTCCATTTAATAAAAATAAAAAAAATGTTGCCATAGTTGTTATGAAACTAAAATAAATACCTAGTTCTTATATCGTGCTTTTCATCGGTAGATTTTAAATCATTTTACAAATGGGGATCATTATCCACATTTTACAGATAGAGAGACTGAGGCAGCACATTTTCATCAATATTCTAATCATCAGTCAACAACTATATTATAAATAACAAATTTTCACTCTTCACATTCCCCTTCAAAATTGCTGTTTCCAATCACGTCATCCCTACCCATATGCCTGCTCTAATAGGCTTTGTAGAGTGCCAGGAAGGACAACTGATTTGGACTATTTCAAGGGTTCATGCAGTGAATGCCCTGCCAAGCATTTTCTTGTTATATACCAAGCAGGCTCCAGTTTGACCTCACTGTGGTACAGGAGAAGGTGTATCTCAGGTAAGCAGCTCCCAGGACATTTAGGCTACGTCTACACTGGCCCCTTTTCCGGAAAGTAAGAATAAGAGCCTCCGGAAAAGGGCACTTTTTCCGGAGGATCGGGGCCAGTCTAGACGCTCTTTTCCGGCTTTTTTAAAAGCCGGAAAAAAGCGGCGGACATTTTTATTTAAATGCCGCGGGGGATATTTAAATCCCCCGCGGATTTCCCTACGACGACTAGTGAAATTTACATGCCCTTTCCGGAAAAGGGGCCAGTGTAGACGTAGCCTTAGGGTTTAGGTGAGAAAACTAACACCTTTAAAGTGAACTTGCAAGCCAAAAGGCAGCCTGTGTAGATTCTGAAGTACAGGCAATCCCCGGGTTACGTACAAGATAGGGACTGTAGGTTTGTTCTTAAGTTGAATCTGTATGTAAGTCGGAACTGGCGTCAGCCGCTGCTGAAACTGATCAGTTTCAACCGCGGCTAGATCTGGACGCCAGTTCTGACTTACATACAGATTCAACTTAAGAAACCCAGGCGTCCCCAAGTCAGCTGC